CTGCTCCTGCTCCTTGTTCCAGATTGTCGGTTCCGTCAAAATCGTTGGGTTAATTGCCACTTTATTGCATTTTGAAATCTATTGTATTTTGAACTTGATGTCAAATAAACTTCAGTACTTGGAATACACGCACACAAGGGCGCCTGGTGGCTGAGTGGACAGCATTCAGGACTCGTAAACCTAGGGACCGAGATTCGATCCCCGGCGATGGCGGAGACAAATGGGCAGTTTCTTTCACCCTGATGCACCTGTTCACCTAGCAGTAAATAGGTACCTGAGAGTTAGACAACTGCTTCGCGCTGCTTCCCGTGTGTTTACTAGTTGTTTACTAGTTGTGTTTTGCGGGGGTTGAGCTTTGCTCTTTCGGCCCGCCTCTCAACTGTCAATCAACTGTTTACTAACTACTTTTTTTTTCCACCACACACACACACCCCAGGAAGCAGCCCGTGACAGCTGACTAACTCCCAGGTACCTATTTACTGCTAGGTAACAGGGGCACTTAGGGTGAAAGAAACTTTGCCCATTTGTTTCTGCCTCGTGCAGGAATCGAACCCGCGCCACAGAATTACGAGTCCTGCGCGCTATCCACCAGGCTACGAGGCCCCCTATTTCAATACAATACGATATTTCAATATTTCAATACGGGGCCTACGAGGCCCCCCATCCTGTGTGTGTGTGTGTGTGTGTGTGTGTGTGTGTGTGTGTGTGTGTGTGTGTGTGTGTGTGTGCGTGGAAAAAATCTGTTGATTAATTGACAGTTGAGAGGCGGGCCGAAAGAGCCAGAGCTCAACCCCCGCAAGCATAACTAGGTGAATACACACACACACACACACACACACACACACACACACACACACACACACACACACACACACACCTTGAAGTTATAATAACTTTCGCAAACAGAGTGGTAGACGGTTGGAACAAGTTAGGTGAGAAGGTGGTGGAGGCCAAAACCGTCAGTAATTTTAAAGTGTTATATGACAAAGAGTGTTGGGAAGACGGAATACCACGAGCGTGGCTCTCATCCTGTAACTACACTTAGGTACTTATACACACACACACACATCCCCAGAAAGCAGCCCGTAGCAGCTGTCAAACTCCCAAGTATTTATTTACTGCTGGGTGAACCACATCTGTGCCTCGACCGGGAAACGAACCCAGATTCTCAGGACTTGACCCAAGAGTATAGAGTTCACTCCATTGGTATTGGAGAACCTGAAAGTGTGTGTGTGTGTGTGTGTGTGTGTGTGTGTGTGTGTGTGTGTGTGTGTGTGTGTGTGTGTGTGTGTGTGTGTGTGTGTGTGTGTGTGTGTTGAGAGTTCAGAGACACAAGTTTGGTTCATAATTGATTGGTCGTGGATTCGATTTCCGGGTGGACAAGTTCGTTTAGTGGAACTTTCCTTACACCTGTTCCCTGTGTTCACCTGGCAGTGAATGGCTCCCTAGTAGTTAGTCGACTCTTTTGAATCACACCTTCTTAGCCCCAATAATGAGAAACAGCGTCATTATCATAGGGAGTAACAATGTAATACATATGCTTACACAGGCTTCCATTTTTTCCCCAATATAGTTTCAGACACACAACCCACACTTCTGAAAATAAAGGAATTGATAGCGTTTTAGTCCGTCCTGGACCATTATGAAGTCTTTTATCGTTTCCTTTGTCATCTTCTGGAATCGCAATCACATTTAGTTTGTATCGTTTTCCGTGCAATACTCTGCTGGTGCCAGTGGAGTTAGGCTGTTGCTGAGTCAAGGAGCCTTAATCACAGATAATGCTCGCCTCCTCGGCAGTCAAGAGCCTTATTGCCTTACCATTATCTGTGATTGGAGACCTGCTAATTGGAGTCACAAGTTAGCTTGGTGTTTGTCGATACTTACACACACGTCTTGGGAGGCACTTGCGCGTTCCTCCTCTCTGTGCACCTTCTTATTGCTCTAGGGAATTCGGTGACTAGATTGTCTTGGTGAGAGGCCAAGTGAGAGGGAAGAAGAGGGGGAAAAATGGAGGAGAAACAATGAAGGTGAACAGCAGTTAGGAAGAAAGGTGTTGAAACGAGGGGAGTAAGCGATCCAATTGTTCTAATTCTTAAGTATTTTCATTGCTAATTTCAGCAAATTGTTACAGTCCTGGCTGGGATGAATTAGTTAGAAACAGTAACACAGAAAATTTACAAGACATAAATTGAATAATAAACTGCCCGAAACGCTTTGCGTAATAGTGGCTTTAGGCATTGTATGTACTAGCTCTATCTATAAATCTATTAATTTTTGTAAAACCTCTTGTATGTATGTACTTTACCTGAATAAACATTTATTTATTTATTTATTTATAAACAGCTGACAATTTGAGTGGTGACATACTGGCAAAACATAGAATACAATTGTTAATGATGAGAATTACATAGAGACGAAATAGAACATGAAGTGATAATAATTTGCATAGACATTGAGTTTTAAAGAAACATATAGCCTAAAAATCTAATTTGCTAAGACATGAAAGTGAGTTCTGCAACATCAATAAAAATAAAATAAAAAATAAAATGCAAATCTAATTGTCAAGACATGAAAGTGAGTTCTGCAACATCAATAAAAATAAAATAAAAAATAAAATGAAAATCTAATTGTCAAGACATGAAAGTGAGTTCTGCAACATCAATAAAAATAAAATACAAAATAAAATGCAAATCTAATTGTCAAGACATGAAAGTGAGTTCTGCAACATCAATAAAAATAAAATAAAAAATAAAATAAAAATCTAATTGTCAAGACATGAAAGTGAGTTCTGCAACATAAGTCAATAAATGTTTAACAAAGGCGGGTAAGATACAGAGAAGGTGTAGACACCGCGTTTCTCGCTGTATGTACACTGAGAGTATACTTTAGTCCTGGACACTGTCCAGGACTAAAGTATATTTGATGGTCAATAACCACGTGTGAACTCGCGCCCCATTTGTTAATACAGTAAGGTTAAATTTAAACTAATCTGACATGTTGACCAGACCACACACTAGAAGGTGAAGGGACGACGACATTTCGGTCTGTCCTGGACCATTCTCAAGTCGATTGTACAGAGTAATCTGACATATACAGAGAACAGTTGCACAGTACTGAACAATACCATACGCTGAACAATTGAACACAAGTCTTCATCGTCCAACTAAATTAGCCAAGAACATTCGTTTTGCTGACTGTCCCTAATGACGGTTAAATTCATCTTCATCTATCACGTTCTTACACAATAAAACATTTACATTTTATGATAAAAAATGCAGTTTTAATTCAATTACCTTCCTGCCGCGAGGCGCTCCAAGCACCTCAGGTGTGGGGGGAAGGCACCCAGGAGTGCCAGACCTGCACATAAAACTGGAATTTCATCTGTGAAGTGCAGAGCCTCCCCCCCCTCCCCCCTCCACCTTCCCCCTAAGCAGTTACTGGGAATTTAAATGCTGATATAGTTTTATTACGATTCCCAACAGGGGCACAGATAGACGGGAGGGTGCTCTTCTGTCCGTCCACCTCTTCTCTTGTTTGTCTTCGTGTCTTTTAAATACGTTTGTGCACCTGTCTCGTGTATCTGTCACTTTGTGTGCCCTTTTATTCTGTGTATTCTGGAAGGGAGGAGAGAGCGAGGTGCTCTAGTGTACCTCTAGCGGCTACCAGCGCACACTTCCACTCACCTCTAGTAGTTCAATCGAAGTCCAGCGTCTCCTGCCACACCCCGGAGCCACACATACACACATCCCGGCCGACGAGGAAACACTGTTTCAATATCACTGCACCAGTGCAACTTGACTTGTGGCCCCCAACATGGCTTTTAGTAAGGTGGAAATAACCCTTCGCCAACTTACTCCTGTCGTTACGTTAGGCTACGGGCGCTAATGCCACAGTTGCCAACTCTTGAATCTTGGGCTACTATTCACCTTAAACTCTTGAATCTTGGCCTACTATTCACCTTAAACTCTTGAATCTTGGGCTACTATTCACCTTAAACTCTTGAATCTTGGGCTACTATTCGCCTCGTCACATCACTAACTTCCAAATTTAAATTCTGTGATCTGAATGTGTTCATTGTCGTTAACAAGCCTTGTCTCATTATTATTGTCTAGTTCCTCTTCTTAATTATTTTTGTTGTGTTCAATGTTTATGTTATTTGATCGAGTATTGTATCAGAGAGTGTAAGAATTTAACGAAGCCCTGGCTAACAAGAGAATATAAATTAGATTAATTTCGAATAATTGAACTAAAAATTATAATTAAGACAAATAATAATGCTACACTGTGTCAATATACATTAGTGAGGCCGCTACACCCTCACCACACACACACATACACACACACAGACACCTGGAGGCTGGTATGGAGGTATGGAGGCAGACTCCATACAGTATCAAATGTAGATATGATAGAGCCCAGTAGACTCAGGAATGTGTACACCAGTTGATTGACAGTTGAGAGGCGGGACCAAAGAAAAAGCTCCACCCCCTCAAGCACAACTAGGTAAATACTCCAGCTGCTTCATCACACTTCACCGCCAGAACCCTGAGAGCCTCCACCCGACGCAAGTCATAGCGAGCTATCCCATTAGACGTTTACTCAAGTGACGCTCACGCCTCTCATTCTTTTCCGTTATCTGCAACACTAGTACGTTCCCTCTATAAGAGCCTCTCTCACGCTCATAATGAACCTCTTGGACTTCATGAATTCCCGACCAAGTCGACTAGGCCTACTTAAGCACTCGATCTCTCCTTCCACAACAAGGAAATACCAACAGTCATCATATACTCTCGGTCACACTCCTGCTCACTCACAGAATGCTTCCAGGCCGAGGTGTCGGGGGTCCCAGATGACGCCTGGACATGGTTGGAATATGAGGGGTGATCTCCGCGGACTAGCCATCATGATCACTGTTTGCCTTAACAACTACAAGCTCCTGTATTAACATAAGAGTAAACACACGACCATTCACAGGTTAAAACAATCCCCCCACCACTTCCAACCGCCGGTGAGCAGGACACGTCCGCCTGCTCACCGGCGCTCGACATTGGAGTTACCGCGGTATAGGTCACGTTTTCACTGTCATCAATATAAATATCATATGATATATCCGTCAATTTCCATCTTTTTTCTTTATTTTGATGCTCCTGTTCGTAGAGTGAGACTAGTTTATAATATTAGTATGGTGTTTGTAACGTAGGAAGATTTGATAGTTTGTGTAAACTACCTGTAGACTAGGAATAGTTTGCACAATTTGTAAGATGTTAGCTGAATAGTAATAGTTTACACAATTTGTAAGATGGTTGTAAACAGCAAGAGTTTACACAATTTGTAAGATGGTTGTAGACTAGGAAGAACTTTATTTATAGAACACAATTTATAAGGTGTTTGTTGTAAAGGAATAATTTAAACGTTGATAAGACTGGTATAATGACCGCAGTAATAATTATTAATGCGGTCACTCGAAAGTAGCTGTTAACATTCATGTATTTGGGATCATTTTGAGTAGACATATTTTATGCTAGGGGTGAGAGCGGTCGGAGAACAGACTGGACATTATCAAATGTCCAATCTGAGTCTACCTTGTGTAGGCGAGTATGCGTACTGGTTCTGCCCTGCATGGCCCAGTAGGCAGGGCCATGCAGGGCCATATATATATGGTTCTAGATAGGGTACCCGGTGATGCCCCGTCTGTCTGTCTGTCAATTTGTGTCTCTCCCTGCAGGTTCCCTCTGCTTCTCCCCTTCCCATTCTCTCTCTTCCCGTGGGTAAAAGATGCTCGAGAAACATTCAGTCAACGTTACCGACGTTGATTCAATGTCGATAACAGGCTTATTGGTGTAAATATGATCTTTATATCGCACATTATTAATAAAGAAAAGAAACAAAAAATGTCGATAACAGCCATAAAATCTGTTTTAACACGCTATGAACAATCAAACCTTTATATCATACTTCATAGGAGTCGATAGAATCAGGAATGGGAGCCGGTCCTTCTTAAAGAGGGGCCATGGGGGTCGACCCCAATCACCCTATGACACTAACCATACAATTACAATCTCGAACAATCCGATATTCTTTCATAGACATACATGTGTTATATCATATTTTCCATTTTATATTCATTTAAACATTATGTCTTGCTTGAATTACTCTCCACGTTAACACTGCCATATTCTTCCAGGGTGGCGGAGCTGGGCACCAGGATGAAGGTTGCCATATTGCTCCTCGCAGCTTCCTCAGTCACCGCAGGTTTGATACTCTCGCTTCTATTGTTTCCATATACTGTATAGATATTTTGTGTGACTGAGGTACGATTGCATGTACGCTGCTACTCAAAGCTATATGGTGGTTTAGAGTGGCCATATGTGATGCTAAGATCCCCATCTCGCATGATGGGTTGTCACACAAAATTTTTTTATTATTATTAACACTTTTAGGTACAGCTGCATTTGTGCAGCTACCCTAGACTATATGAAGGGGAGTACAGCGTGTCAAAAAGCTAGCTACGTGATGCTAAAAATCCCCATCACACAAGATGGTTAGTTATACAAATGCATGTGATGAATAGTCTGCACTGGCAGATTCTAGGTGCATTATGAGGTTATCATCAACACAAGAGTGAATAAGGTAGCAGTGATACTAAAAGTCCCCATCTCGAAGGATGGTTAATCATACAGGGCCATATGTTCAGTAGCCTGCACTGGCAAATTTTGGGTGCAATATGAGGATATCTTCAAGAACAGATACTTTATTCTTTATTCTGAGAGTGAATTAAGTTGCAAAGCTCCAGGTACCTCATGCCAATGGGTCTGAATGGTCTGATAATGGTGTGGGAGATCATGTCCCAGTTCCTGCTTACAGAGTTTGCACCTGGAGTGCTCAGGATTGGAAGATCGAATTGGTCAGCCAGCACTGGCAATATTTTGGTTGGAGTATGAGGCTATCCTGAAGCTAGCCTCATTCTCCATCTATTACCCTAAATATTAGCAGCAAACAAACTGATCAGTCTTTCTTCGTGCCGTTCAAATAATATTTGTCACAGTCAAATAATACTAAATAATTGGCATGTCACTTTCTTATGCAATAGACACTGTGTAGACATTTACTATTACAATATTGTCGAAGACAATAAGTACATACTCATTCTGAGACCAGATGAAAGGCTTTGAAAGGCTCCTTATTATTCATCAGAATAAGAATAATAAGGGATTGACATAATGGTCCAGGACGGACCGAAACGTTGTCGTCTCCTCATCTTCTGGTGTGTGGTTTAGTCATCAGTAATAATAAAGGAATCTATAATAATGAACAATTCGCCACTAATTTGGGATTCCTGTCCACACACTTTTAGCTGAAGTTAGAAAACTTTAAGACTCCACCACAGGTAATTTTGTTCCATAAATCATCAACCTTGTTTCTAAACCTGTATTTACCCAGGTCTTTCCTGAATTTAAATCTTATAAATGTATGGATAATAACACAATATTATTCAATACAAATATAGAATTCTCACATTGCTACACATAAGTAAACATAAACAAGTGCTACCTTGCCAACTTCTAAATCATTATAGTGGCGTAAAACATAATGATATCGGACACTAAGGAGCAAACCGTTACATTTAATTTATCTTATTTATGGAGGAAAGCGGAGTAATGAATAGCGACCAAATAACACATGTATAAAGAAATATACATAAATAAACAAGCATTCACACACTACGTAACTGTGTGTGTGAGAGAAATGGCAACATGCATTAAGCCTCCTTATAATAATGCTCCCTGCAGTATAATGCATATACATATACCGGTATATATATAAAAAATATATATATATATATAATATATATTATATACGCAAACAAACCTTGTGATACTTTAGTTTACACGCTCTAAAGTGCTGGGAGCCGGCTGGCATAATTATGCTCGACGCTGAAGCAATATTCCAAGCTACGCTCTACAACCTGCTGCCTCCCTTACCTTACCCAGATTATAAACTCAAATAGTTATTTACATATAAAATGAGTAATTTTTGCAAATTGGTAAAATTTCCAAGGGTGCTGGTTTACTTTCAGGAAACACAATGTTAATATGGGTTTACTAGATGTGCAATAATATTGACCGGAGAAAATGGATAAGGTTTCATGTATTCTCTTAATTAATACTGGCTTTTAAAACGGAAGGTGGAAATTTATATTATGTGGTATATAATTTTATTATCAGATTATTGCTGACGGTTCTTTTATCATTGCACACTTTTTCAAGTATAAATTTTGGACATTTGAGAATTGCAGATAGATATTGAAATGTTATGTATCTCTACAAATTAATATCTTTATTCTTTTTAACTACGACGAAAGTTCATTAGGTATAGTGCTGACATTCCTAATGCAACTGCAAGCTAAGAACTATTATCAGCTCATCTAAAGCCTGATCCTAGATACTTATTTAATGAGCTTATTATTAGTTTTTCATTTGCAATAAACTTTATTCAGTGTTAATTTACACTCCTATTAGGTACATTACGAAGCCAGAGCTAGATGTGTAACAGAGCCTTTACACGGTCGCTTGGCTACATTTTACGCCTATGCACGTGTTAGGCGAACGTTTGAAATGAGTCTGTTTAGAAATGAATGAACGCTGGAGTGATTTTTATTTTTTTTTTAGTGGCAGTCAGTATGAGGCTTTTGATGACTGAGCGTCTTGTGTTGCAATTGACAACTTCTGATTGGCCACGAAGGCCCCCGGCATCTTTCCGGTTTTGACGGATTTCATGTATTGGGCAGTCTAACTAAAACAGGTCAAGACTTTAGATGAGTCTCCATGCACAGTTCTCTCTCTCTCCTTCTCTCTCTCTCCTCTCTCTCTCTCTCTCTCTCTCTCTCTCTCTCTCTCTCTCTCTCTCTCTCTCTCTCTCTCTCTCTCTCTCTCTCTCTCTCTCTCTCTCTCTCTCTCTCTCTCTCCTTCTCTCTCTCTCCTTCTCTCTCTCTCTCTCTCTCTCTCTCTCTCTCTCTCTCTCTCTCTCTCTCTCTCTCTCTCTCTCTCTCTCTCTCTCTCTCTCTCTCTCTCCTCTCTCTCTCTCCTTCTCTCTCTCTCTCTCTCCTTCTTTCTCTCTCTCCTCTCTCTCTCCTTCTTTCTCTCTCTCCTTCTCTCTCTCCTTCTCTCTTTCTCTCTCTCTCTCTCTCTCTCTCTCTCTCTCTCTCTCTCTCTCTCTCTCTCTCTCTCTCTCTCTCTCTCTCTCTCTCTCTCTCCTCTCTCTCTCTTCTCCTCTCCTCTCTTTCTCTTCCTTGTACAATGGACCATTGTGCTTAACGTTTCTGTACGGTTTGCTTGCTGTGTCGTTTACGGGGCAAAGTGTATGGGCGGGTAATTGCAATTCTGTATATTGTAATTAGTTGCTGTTTTAAGAGATCTTATGTGTGTTTAGTGATTGATGAATACAACAGCAATGTTCTATACAATTTGACACGTTGCCATGTTCTTCCATACGGTTCAACAGCACTGCTCTTGTGCCAGGTAAGTCCACTACGGGCTCACCATAGCCCTTGCTACTTGGAACTTGTTCCGAGTAGCTGAATCTATAACAACAACAACATCTATACGGTTTAACTGCCGCGTGTCTTTTCGAGTAGATATTATCACGGTTTAATATGCATATTATTTGTATTTTGGTAGATTCGGTTTGCAGTTTTGCACGTTTGTGTTATGGGAATAACAGACTACGTTTTTTATTTGAGTGATGGAAGTGGTAGTTTCTCTCTAGAGGATGGGAAGGGAACTATCAGGAAAGAGCGCCAAGTCATTTTGACAATATAACACTTGGAAGGGATCAGGGTAAGGATTTGGGATGGGACGGGGAATGGGGGGGAAGGAATGATGCCCAACCACTTGAACGGTAGGGGATTGAACGCCGACCTGCATGAAGCAAGACCGTCGCTCTACCGTCCAGCCCAAGTGGTGGCAGTTTCTCTATTCTGGGTGTGGCAGTTTCTGTTTGTAGTTCGAGTGGCAGTTAATGTCATGAGAATAACGGATTCCGTTTTCTATTTGAGTGGTGGCTAAAGTTGTGATGGACGTGGCAGTTTCTCTCTATGGCAGGAATGGCAGTTTTTGTATTTATGGCGACTTATAGTTGAGGTTTGTGATTTTAGTGCCAGTTTATGTTTGTAATGTAGCGGTAGTTTGAGGCATATGTGTGTGTCTGTTTAGACGACTATGGTCTTAAAATGCACACATCCTACACAAATTTAGGCATTTTCATACGAAAACGCAAATGCACACACACACGCAGATACACACATTCAGTAGGTGCGCCCCGAAGACACTCGTTTAGGTAAAACAATTCAATGATCCAACTTTGCTTTCAGGGGGATGGGCAGGCGGCGGTGATGCAATCAATACTGAGCGAGGCCGGGGGGAGGGGCCAGACCCGCAGCACCACCTCGCACTCCATCCTCCCACTCCACTACGGAGGGACACACACTTCACTTCAGACGGGAATACTAACCCCCGTCTCGGGCTAGGCCCTCGTAACCCGTTGGACCAGGACCTCGGGTCAGTGTCATCATCGTTAAAGGATACACAGTCTTCCATTTCAAGGCAAATTTTCCAGTCGTCTTCCTCCGGTCGCGACAACGTCAAACCCGGCGAAGTATCTTTGGGCGCAGTCAGGAGACCCAACATGGCTCAACTGCAACCATATCACCTCTCAGAGCTTCCACCGTCGTCCACACTGCTGCAAGTATCTATGTGGGCAGACCCTCCACCGTCAACGCCACCTGCAGGAGTGTCTTCCTCCCTCGCTCCAAGATCACCGCTCCTCCCCAGCCACGAGACTCACCTGCGGCAGGATTTCACCTTAAATGACAATCGGAAGCATCGCCGGATGTTGCAAGAGGACCCCAGGGCCAACAGGGCCCTCAGGGTCCCCAGGGACAGTAGGAAACATCACCAGCCACTTGGCTTCGGCGGGACGCCCTTAAATGTGAGATATTTGAGGACCAATATCCAGGTTGACAGAGGCAAACTTTCCCCGCGTAAAAGATTAAAAGGTCTCATGGAGGGGAGAGATGGCCCCACTGGGGGTCAGGCGGAGGCTGCCAGCGAAGGTAGTGAAGAATATCACCAAGATGATCCTCAGATCTTTCGTGCACCCGAGGAAAAGGTTGAAGGTGTTGCAGAATTACCTCCTGGAAAAAGAAACGTCACGAGCCAACAATCTCCCGAGCACTCAAAGGAAACTCGACATGAGAAATTGACACGAGATTTTCCGGCTCAGTTGACGGAACAGAGAGAGTCAACAGAAGCGTTCTCTGAGGAACTCACGAATATCAAGTTAAGGGAGAGGGAGAAAGGAACAGGGGATGAAAGCAAAGGTGAAATAACGAATACAGTCAACAGAGGTGACGGGAGTTTGGCCGAGTCGGCGAACAGCTTCAGGGACCCGAGCCTGAATGACACATCAAACATACCTCACAGGGTCAACCTCGACGCCCTAGAGATGGAACTCTCCGAGAAGGAGGAGGAAGCGTCTAGCGACCTGCTGCTCGCTATCTCCATCCTGCAGCATCACCTCGTCCCGGACACGTCCTCATCATGGCGCACCATCCACAACTCCTCCAGGGTCGGCGGCCCCATCTCCCAGGCTCTTGTCGACCACTCCAGGTTCTCCGACAACTCCGAGCCTCGCCGACCCTTCCGCTTGCCACCCGTCGCTCACGACACCGACAAGAAATTTAACATCGAAATATTTGACTCGCTGTCGGCGGGCTCCGACGAGGTTGTGGGGGAAGCCGAGGAGATGGTGGAGGAGAGCAGTGTGCGACACATAACCCATCTGCAGGAGGAAGCTGACCCGAGGGAGCGCGCAGGGTTGCGTTACCGCTGGTTTGTCCTCGTCCTCGACGGCAACTGCTCCGTCATCAAGCCGCGCATGACCACCTTCGTCACCTTCCTGAAGGCGGCTCTCTCGGCCAAGCTCTCCGTGGACTACAACGACGTGTACGTCCCGTCAGTGTTCTGCGACAACACCTTCATGGTGAACATTAGCCTCGACACCCTCAAGTACCCGCAGGTGGAGGTGAGACTCAGGAAACTGGCGGAGGCCAACACGACCCTCCTGGAGATTTCCGAGGAAATATTCTACCTGGAGAAGATCCTCATGAAGAGGTCTGACGAGGAAGAGCAGAACTTCCAGGCGATCATCAAGAAACCTGACGACGTGGAACTTGTCATCTACATCGCGGTCGGGTGCATGTGCGTGTTCATCGTCCTGTCGGTGGTGATCGTGATGCTGATCCGGGTGTGTCGGCAGGAGGGCGACACACTCGACCTGGGCAAGCCTCGTCCACATCAGATCATCCCACGCTCCCTCGACTTCCCCATCAGGAGACCCAACGTCATCTACTCCCACAGGTGAGTGCTCGCTCCATCTTCCTCGTCGACACTGCATTTTGCACCAGAGGTGATTGTCTTGGAATCTGTCGTTTTTCCTCAGAACACACGTGACACTCTTAACATTTACGACCCTTCTGGCATTGACTTGTCACGTGATAGTGTCTACCTGTGTGTTGGTGCTTCCCTACCTCACACCTGTCTCACTCGAGGAAAGATTACTGGAACTAAACCTCACGACACTGGAAGACAGAATAGTTAGGAGAGACATGATCACTGCCTATAAAATTCTCAGGGGAATTGACCCGATAGATAAAGATAAACTGTTTAGCACGGGTGGTACACGAACAAGGGGGACACAGGTGGAAACTTAGTACCTAAATGAGCCACAGGGACGTTAGAAAGAACTTTTTCAATGTCAGAGTAGTTAACAAATGGAATGCATTAGGCAGTTAAGTGGTAGAGGCAGACTCCATGCACAGTTCCAAATGTAGATTTGATAGAGACCAGTAGGCACAAGAATCTGTACACCAGTTGATTGACAGTTGAGAGGCGGGACCAAAGAGCCGAAGCTCAACCCCCGCAAGCACAACTAGGTGAGTACACACATATATTGGGGCCTCGCGGCTGAGTGTATAGCGCTCGGGGGTCGTAGTCCTAATGGCCTGGGTTTCGATTCCCAGCGGAGGCGGAAACAAAATGGGCAAAGTTTCTTTCACCCCAATGCCCTGTTCACCTGGCAGCAAATAGGTACCTGGGAGTTAGACAGCTGCTACGGGCTGTTTCCTGGTTGTATGTGTGTGTGTGTGTGTGTGCGTGTGTTAGAGAGGAATATATGTAGAAGTAGCCATCCATCAGTCTCAGAAGACTATGGAGTTGCGCTCTCCACGGCGCCGAAAGTCTCCAGTGGAAAGGCAAACGCCAATACGATTGGTTCCAGCGCCGTCGCAGGAACTGTTAGAATGAGGTTGAAGGTAACAACGAACCGCCCATGAGGCTCCAACTCCGGAGTTAACCTCGAGGTTGGTAAAAAAAGGCACAAGGACTCCAAACCCGGAGACCGCCGTGGTCGGGGCCGGAGAAGAACCACCCAGCAAGGGCAAGAACGACACCAACCTCCTGAAGCAGAGCTTAAGCCGCACGAGCCTCAGGAGATGGACTTCTGAGTTCCGCACCTACGGGTTCCAGACAGAGAGCGTCACAGCCCCTTTTCACCCGAGGTCGGCTTCCTTCAAGACCAAGCAGAAGGAAGAGTAATAATTAGTGATTACAAGTAGTTGATATAAAAGAGGACAAATAGATTGATTAGAAAGGCGTGCTTCAAGAGTTAATAGCTCGATTTTGCAGACACAAATAGTAAATACACACTGTCTTCTGTGTTACATTAATTTCCACATTAAGTTAAAGCTAAGAATAAGGAAAACAAAGGAAAGATACCCCGCAGGGGGGTGACTGGTCAAGTAAGGATAGGAGAATAGTAATAGGCGAGAGGAAACATTTCAGTATGAGGGATAGAGCCAGAGGGCTTAACCCAGCTCGCATAAATTAAGTTAAATAATCGGCCGCCTGGATGTCCCGAGCGAGCGCGGCCACACTTGACCAGGCGGGTCCCAGCAAGCCTGGTGCAATATGACATCCCAGTTTCAACACAACTATCAAGAGTATTGATCTGTTTCTAACTCTGTCAAAATCTGGGGATAGTAATTTAATATTCACTAGAATCAGTAATGGTAATGCCTCTCACAGACATAATAACTAGGATAAAAATCCACACTTTGTGTATTTGTGAAATATGGTCGGGCCCGAGCCCCATAACCTCCGCCCCTTTGCATTAAATGACAAATCACGCTAATTTCAAATCTCGCTAAATATGACTCCATCCTCACCTCACTAAGATTACAGGGATGGCGGGAAAATTGTGAAGGGTAGGGAGGGTGGTGAAGGGTTGGAGGTGTGGTGAAGTGTAGGGAAGGTGGTGAAGGGCAGGAAGGGTGAAGTGTATGGAAGGTGGTGAAGGGCAAGAAGGGTAGGGAAGGTGGTGAAGGGCAAGAAGGGTAGGGAAGGTGGTGAAGGGCAAGAAGGGTAGGGAAGGTGGTGAAGGGTGGTGAAGGGTTGGGGAAGGTGGTGAAGGGCAGGAAGGGTAGGGAAGGTGGTGAAGGGCAGGAAGGGTGGTGAAGTGTATGGAAGGTGGTGAAGGGCAAGAAGGGTAGGGAAGGTGGTGAAGGGCAAGAAGGGTAGGGAAGGTGGTGAAGGGTGGTGAAGGGTTGGGGAAGGTGGTGAAGGGCAGGAAGGGTAGGGAAGGTGGTGAAGGGCAGGAAGGGTGGTGAAGGGTAGGAGAATAGTAATAGGTGAAGGGTAGGGAAGGTGGTGAAGGGCAGGAAGTGTAGGGAAGGTGGTGAAGGGCATGAAGGGTAGGGAAGGTGGTGAAGGGCAGGAAGGGTAGGGAAGGTGGTGAAGGGCAGGAAGGGTAGGGAAGGTGGTGAAGGGCAGGAAGGGTAGGTAAGGTGGTGAAGGGCAGGAAGGGTGGTGAAGGGTAGGGAAGGTGGTGAAGGGCAGGAAGGGTAGGGAAGGTGGTGAAGGGCAGGAAGGGTGGTGAAGGGTAGGGAAGGTGGTGAAGGGCAGGAAGGGTGGTGAAGGGCAGGAAGGGTGGTGAAGGCTAGGGAAGGTGGTGAAGGGCAGGAAGGGTGGTGAAGTGCAGGGAAGGTGGTGAAGGGTAGGAAGGGTAGGGAAGGTGGTGACGGGCATGAAGGGTGGTGAAGGGTAGGGAAGATGGTGAAGGGCAGGAAGGGTGGTGAAGTGTAGGGAAGGTGGTGAAGGGCAGGAAGGGTGGTGAAGTGTAGGGAAGGTGGTGAAGGGCAGGAAGGGTAGGGAAGGTGGTGAAGGGCAGGAAGGGTAGGGAAGGTGGTGACGGGCAGGAAGGGTGGTGAAGAGTAGGGAAGGTGGTGAAGGGCAGGAAGGGTGGTGAAGTGTAGGGAAGGTGGTGAAGGGCATGAAGGGTGGTGAAGTGTAGGGAAGGTGGTGAAGGGCAGGAAGGGTGGTGAAGTGTAGGGAAGGAGGAGAAGGGCAGAAAGGGTAGGGAAGGTGGTGAAGGGCAGGAAGGGTGGTGAAGGGCAGGGAAATGGTGAAGGGCAGGAAGGGTGGTGAAGGGTAGGGAAGGTGGTGAAGGGCAGGAAGGGTGGTGAAGGGTAGGGAAGGTGGTGAAGGGCAGGAAGGGTGGTGAAGTGTAGGGAAGGTGGTGAAGGGCAGGAAGGGTGGTGAAGGGCAGGGAAATGGTGTAGGACAGGAAGGGTGGTGAAAGGTAGGGAAGGTGGTGAAGAGCAGAAAGGGTAGGGAAGGTGGTGAAGGGCAGGAAGGGTGGTGAAGGGTAGGGAACGTTGTTTCCTTACCTAATTATCTCAGTATGTTAATAACCACCCGGCCGTAACAAATTATATATTCAATATATTACCTCAACTCTGAGTATTTTCTTCGTGTTGAAGTTTTAAAGCAATAACAAGAATAAAATACAATCGTTTATCTTTCTTTTAAATTGCTGTATCTGTCTTAACAGTGATGTTCTTCTTACATTACATAGACATATTGCATTGCATCGGCACATCTAGCTTTCTTCAGGACACTTCCTGCAATTATCATTTTATTTTTGATGATTTTAATACATACAATTGTCTAATTAACACATTCCATTATTTGTAACTAATGAATTCTATTTTAAAATTGGCCCTAGTCAATGTTTGGAAATTTGACACATCATGCTCTGTAACTAACGCATTCCATTTTAAGTAATTTAATAAATTTAACTTTCTGAATTAACACATTTCCCTTTCTGTAAAAAAACACATTCCATTTTCTGCAATTAACACATTCCATTTTTGTTAATTAACATATTCCATTCTCTTTGCTAGCTAGCCCAATTGTCTGTTGAAAAACAAATTCTCTCGGTAAAGCTTTCCATTTTCTTTTCTTTTAATTGCATCCTCCATAATTAAAACTAATTTCTTTTGCTGGCAGGTTTAGCCAAGCCTTGATCCCTGGCAAGTGTGGGCGGCGAGGTTTGGATGAGGGTCAGATGGGCGGCACCAGCGGGGTGACGGTGGGCGGCGGTGGTGGGCGTGGGACCCTCCTCAGGTGAGATAATAAACAATAGACCAACCCGTTCAAAAGTATAGGAAGCAATCATATAGAATGGAAAGGCAAAAACATCTAGTAAATAGTGGATTCGGGCGGATCCTAAGTTAAACGGCCTTTTAATTCAGCCTTTGTTCAGATTTGTTCAGTCTTAGCACGTTGTGGTCCAGAGGTTAGGACGCGCGACTCGGGTGAGCCAGGACGCAGGTTCGATCTCCCAATGCCTTTCTTATAGATATATCACTGTATTTTCCTAACGTTAACATGTATTTTCCCTATCGCTACCTTGTATTTTCCTAACGTTATATTGCATTTTTTCTAAACTTATATTGTATTTTCCTAACGCTATATTGAGTTCAGTTTTACAGGAGTATAAAGCTAGGATCTTTTAAATAACAATACATAATTTATATTTGTCTTGAGGAACCAAAATCCTATTCCCGTTTTGAACCATTAGCTTAATGCTAAGTTAATTCAAATTATAACAAAATAGTCCGTGCAAACACTAATTTGCTATTCATCCCATGGTGGCTTGTTTTGATGTTGGTGGGAACTGTTTGTCGTGGTTTGTCCTCATATATTTGTTTACTAATGTCGCGATATTCGTGATGAGTGTTTATTGGGATATTCGTGACGACTTTTGTTTTGCTCGATATTCTTGACGAACGTTTGTTGCGAAAAAATCCTGACGATTGTTTGTGACGATATTCATGATGATTGTTACAATGTCCGTGATGATTGTTTAATACGAATTTGTTCGTGATTGTTTGTTGCTAAATACGTCACGATTGTTTATTTGTTGTCATGAGTGTTTGTTGCAATATTCATGATGATTGCTTATTGCGTATTCATGATTGTTGCGATGCTCGTGGTGAATATGAAACTTATCCTTCAAAAAACATTAGCGCATAAATATAGACAGATTATATGTACAAAATGTGGAAATTGGCATTCAAAAAAGGTCCCTCTTAAAATACATCATATGTACAACTTTAGATTTAAGGATGTCGTAAGATTGGTTATATTAGGTCTAGGGAAAGTAAGGTTTCCGGTTAGGTTGTTTCATTCTTTGTCAAGTCCTTTAGAACACCAATAGTTAGGAATGTGACTTTTGGGGGTACCACAATCGCTATTTTGTATTATATACTGATGCAATCTTAGCCTATCATTTTAGAAAGTGAGCTCTGCCTTGAATCAAATTCTCTGCAAATCCAATGTCTATCCGTTTGTATATTTTATTACACACATTTGGGAGTTCATTATGCTAAAAAATATATTTTAAAGCATTTTGTAAATAATTAAATTAAATTAAATTTTTGTTTGACCATTATATTATGGCCAGCTTAACTCTTCAGACCTAAACTCCAGCAATATTTAAGACGTCCGTAACCAGTTTGGTGAGCTTATCCTTATTTGCTTTTCTTTGGATTTATTTTTGTTTTCCAGGTAACCAAAAAGAGTATGTTTCGTTAGTTTATTGTTGGGTTAAAGGCCCATCAACCGCGGGAGAGTTAAATTCAATACGTACCTTGTCCAAGTGGGTGATGCTTGCGCCTCTTTGAGTGTCCATGATTCTTGTGTGAAATGTATATAAAAGCTTACCCAGGTAGCCACACCGGCTCCTACCTCATCAGCCTAATAACATTCATTGTTTTATGTGTTTCCGGCGGCGGCGACATGTTTATTGCGCACCTCATTTTCTTCGTATGAGCGGCAGTGCAAAAGGATTACAGAGGGTACAAAAGGTTTTTCTTTATCAGGTTCTATTAATATTTATTGTTACTGAAATATTTTTTGTCTTAAACTATTTAAATTTATTAACTGTGTATCAGTGAAAATACAAAGGATTTAATTTGCACATTGCGCTTGTTTTGATTGATATAGTAACATTAAATATTACATGTTTGATTCATTGTAAACAAACTTCCATTTCTATTGTTTCAACTTTTCCCCGTTACCTTTTACATAAATCGTTCTAGTTCTTTTTTTCTGTTCCGTTACTTGTAAGTACATCATGAACACTACATGTGCATGTATATACGTACATAAATCATATGTATTTAGCACTCATTACAAAAATACTTAATGAGCAGTTTGAAATGTGGACTACATTTTCAATCTGACCTGGGCCAATGACCAGCTTTGTATGTCCCTGTTTATATCAAGTTCCCAACACCCAGTTCCATCACTGCCTGGAAAATAGTCTTCTTGGCCTCCTAAGAACACAACGACCTAATAACCGCAGGACAACTGCAACGGACGATCTAAGCGCCGCCCGCTGGCGACATCCTTTTAAGAAATAAATCACTAAAATAACCTACCAAACCTAATAATGTGCATTCGCCCGGAACAAAATCACCCTAACAAGCATATGTAGTCGACAATTTGAATTAAATGTGCGGAAAATCCTAGTATCAGACGCTAGGATTTTATTTATTATTTTTTGGAGGGGAGGGGATTACCGCATAGTATACATAACCAAATCATGCCTTATTTTGATTTTATTTTCTTGTCTTTGTTATTTCCTGATCGTTTTACTCGTTACTTCTTATTTTATTTTTGTTTTCAATCTTTCATTTTATTAGTAATTTGCCTTATTTTAGTTCCAATAGCCTTCTGCAGTTTCAGCTCTTCTTATGTCCTTATCTGGTTATATCTTATTGGTAGGTACGAGCCGGAGGTGTGTGGAGATGGGGGCATGATCGGCCAGGTGACCGTGGGCGGCCAGGAGGTGGGCATGGGCGGCCAAGAAGTGTACACCATCTCTACCCTCGCAGATGATGTTTACAGCGATCGACGAGCTCTCGTCCCCACCCGCCGCAGGACCAGACATATTCCAGGCGAAGCTGTCATCTTGGAGGAGGAGGACCTGGCCGAGGAGGAGGAGGAAGAGGAGGAGGAAGATGATGATGATGAGGAGGAGGAGGAAGAGGAAGAAGAGGAGGAGGAGGAAAGAAGGGGGGGAAGGAGGAGCAGGAGGAGGAGAACGGCCGGTCTTCCTGATGATGAAGTGCTACTGGAGGAGGATATGGACGGCGAAGGGGAGACGAATCAGGACCATCGAGCCGAGACCGTAAGGGCCGTTTCGTCGTCCAGGAGTATTGTACGGGCTGCCCTGGGACCTGCTGAAGGACGAGGGGGAAGAGGAGGGGGGTCCGGTATAGCGGTGGGCCGGGGGTTGTGTGGATCAGGGGGGCGAGGACGCAGCAGGGCAGCAAGAGGGCCGAGCGAGGTGGTGGTTGTGTCTGGTATCGACAACCCCTGCTACACCAGATGATGAGGCTCCCTCCCCTTACCCCCAACCCCAGCCTCGCCGCGCCAGCATCACCTCAACCACCCCTCCGTTCCCTCTCCCCTCTAACTCCCTCATATGTCTAGTTCATAGTCTGTGCATTCTTCATCTCCCTTTCCAATCTGTTTTCAAACATGTTTCTCACACTAAGCTGCTCGTTGTTTGCCTTTACCCCCCCCCCCCCACTTTATCTCCCAAAGTTACAGATAATTCGTGATTTCGTTACAAGGTAACTATAGCCGTTGTTCATCATACACCCTCGTTCTCCTCATTCCCCCTACCCCATGTTATGTACATTTAATTATTCACTCAAACTTCAACCTGTCTAGCTTCATAACTCCTGTTTTTAAAACTTGTATTTTCTTATGCACTTCCGTCCTTCTTGCCCTTATGTTGAGAAAGATTTATAAATACTAAAACTGTACTTAAAGCATAGTTTATTATATATATATATATATATATATATATATATATATATATATATATATATATATATATATATATATATATATATATATATATATATATATATATATATAACAAAATTTGATTTTTTAAATAACTCATTTACTGAAGTGTTTAGAAAATTATGCGTTTTAGGAATTAATTAAAGTGTACTGATGTAAAATATATAGCGAGTAAATTCCGTATTCTTTGACTGGTTATAATCAAATAACCCTAACAAGCAAGACGATCACAGCATGGTAGTCCATTACTGTTTGCGACATCACCTAACAAATGTCTGGTGACCACCTTTACACCCAGCGAACGTGCGGCATCCACCGTTTCACCTAGCGAACAGAAAGCTCTACTAGTCGACCATGCTGTACTTCCCGCAAGTATGTGCTGTATGGTGTCCTCATAAGGATTTAACCAAAAACACAGAGATGGTTAGTGGCTTTAAAAACAAATTTATACCTCTTAAAAACACTGTAATCATGCACTATGTAAAATTTTATATATATAAATAAAATACTATTAGTTATTATAAATTTCGTTGTAACCATAAAGTGATGATTTGTGCAGAGGTAGCCTAAATATCGCTAGGGTGTATATGGGGGTAATTTAAACATCGTCAGGTTGTGTGGGGGGTAGTCTAAACATAGCTAAGCTGTGTATGGTGTAACCTAAACATCACCAGGTTGTGTTGGGGTGGCCTAAACATCGCCATGTTTTGTATGGGGTGGCCTAAACATTGCCGTGTTGTGTAGGGGTAGCCTAAACATCCCCCTCCCCCCCCTCCACCCGTGTGGTGCAATGGTGACTAACATCACCAGAAGCCTCAAGACTAACCGAAACTTCGCCAAAGGTATATGGTTATTCAAAACATCAACAAGCGCTCAGATATGTAAATATATCGGATTATATTTAGTCACAATTTTTACATACCAAGCAAACAAATGGTGTTTACATAACAAATGTCGGTGATATCAGGGCAAAACCTAGAGGCAAGATAGCGACAATCAGTATGACACAGTTGACTATGCCCCCCCCCCATGTCTGTTGTAGTGGGTCAATGCTGCTGCCCGTGTCACCCCCTGGTGACGCGGTTTGTTATATTTTAATGTATGTTTAGTAAGTGTTTTTTTCGTCCATGATATCTTGTCTTTGGACCATGATCACGAAGCTTAATAGGGGTGAGCGACCGTTCCAGCCCAGTGTCGTGGGCTGACTCGTTAGGTTAGGTTCCAATATTTTATCTTCTTCCTCATTCATGTTATGATTAATGAATATATGATCAGTAAAAGTATGTGTAATCTATTATAAGTTTTTTTTATTTTATTTTAGCTTGATTGATATTTATTCGGTAAGGAGGATATTCGAGTGTGCTTCTTCTGGTGCTACCATTGCTGTTTGTCTCAGCAGGACTTAACTTTGAACGATAGAAATGATTCAAGAGTCTTTTTGAAAGTGTCAACACACTACCTTACCCTTGCGTACACAGCATTTTATATAGGTTTACATGACACAGAGTATGGGGAAAAAATGTAGATAATAAGAGAGAAGAAATATAATATAGGAGACAAAACACAAAAAATGCTTACTACTGTATTTATATACTTTTCGTAGTTTGTAATGTGGCACTTTTTGATAAATTTGAAAATGAGAGATATATTTTAGTCTGATTACCGCTTGCGCATCGCTTTTTCCCCTCCCTGCATCCACTCCTACCTCCCCGAGCTTAACAAATCCGAAAATCTCCACGTAAAAATGTTGCCGAGAGATAAACTTGGTTTCCGGATAGCGCACTCTTTTTGTCGTGTTGAATCGTCAACCTCATTGAATCAGTCAAGTTGCCAGCCTACCGCTTAGCAACCACTCGGTAGCAACTGCGGTACTAGGTAGTTCAAGGTTGTTTTTAATATACCTAAGTACTGTAGTAACTTTCCTCCCTTCACCCCCCCCCCCCCTCCCCAGTCCACTCAAGATAAACTTTCGATGGCCAGAGGTATAACATAATTGGTCTTTAGATAGCCTGCGTAGTCTAAGATAACTTACATAACCCTCCCCTTCCATTAACCAGCTATTGAAGTAGGCACCAGATAGTCACAAAACCCCCCATAAATGTCCCAGGTAGTCTTCTTAAAGGCTACCTAGTTCTCAAATAGCCCACAGAAAATCCCGGATGGTCCCAACGGTCCAATCAAGATTAGGTTCAGACACACACGGTGGTCTGGCGTAACTTGATAGACCAGTAACAAAATAATCCATAGCGTCTCAATGTTACCTTGAGATAGCACTCTTAGTTTTGAACTACCCCCTCACCCCCTCCTGGGAGTATGGATAGCCCTCTCATGTAGTACTCGGGATGTTCCTCTAGTCCCTAGATAGCTGTAATGTAGAGAACCCTTAAGAGACATCAGTATTTTCCATACATCGTTTGAATAGTCCAGATAGTCCTTACATATCCTTTATGCAGCCCCAAGTAGCCCTCGGATATCCCTTAAATGATCCCTGATAGCCACTAAAGCTATATATAAGTAGCCTCTACAATGTTAAAAGATCACAAAATAATAATTCTCACAAACATGAAATTTAGTACCTGTGATATCAGAATCTTCCACCTTGCTCTTCTTTTTAATCAGCCTCCTCCTCCTGCTTCCACGAGGAACTGAGTTGCAGGATATGCATATCATGACCCAAGCCTACCGTCATTTGGGGACCACCATCTCTTTCTCCTCCCCCCCATCCTTCTCTCTCTCTCTCTCTCATCCCCCAACAACTACATCTTACACCCACACACTCTTCTTCATTCTACATCACTCCTACACTCTCCCCTGCGGCAACATTGGGCCTCTCACACTCTCCCTTCCTCGTTCTCTCCTCGCCCGTCCTCTCTTCCCTCGGCTACACTAGCCCCGGTCCACGACACGCCGGGAGAACAGCTGAGACTAGAAAGTAAAATGTTTAAATATGAATAATTAATTACCTGAGAAACACGATGGCAAGTCTTAATACCTGTGACGTCACGGTGCTTGGCCACGCCCATCCAAGTAGACTACTAAAGCTCCCTCGCTCCTTATTGGTGGAGAGAAAGAGAGGGGGAGGAGTTGGGGAGTGAGAGAGAGCAAGGAGAAACAGAGCAGGGTTAGAGAGGGAACAGGGGAAGAGACAGAGCAAGAGGGAGACAGAATTAGGGGGAGGCGGAACAAGGGGAAGACAGAACATGGGAGTGGACCGAACCACCAGGAAGGACTCTGCCCAACCGTCACTACACTCATAATACCAGCTGGTAGAGATATCTACTCCCTAACTCATCTACTCCCAGGGTAGTAGACAAGCCCGAGTCACCTATCCCATGGTAGTTAGGAAATCTGATTCAGCTACTCCCGCGGTAGTAAAAGAGCCTGTTTCACCCGCGCCATCTGTCCACACACCGTCACACCCGCGCGCCATCTGTCCACACACCACACTAGCGCCATCTGTCCACACTCCGTCACACCCGTGCGCCATCTGTCCACACACCACACTAGCGCCATCTGTCCACACTCCGTCACACCCGCGCGCCATCTGTCCACACACCACACTAGCACCATCTCATGTCACAATCACGACATATCATCACCACGACCCCAAAAAGTCACAAAACCCCACAACATTCATCCATAGCCAAGAGCATGTTCCAGCAACATATCCCACATCCTACATGTTTCTACAACATATCCCTATGTATTACAACATATTCCAAAGACCAACAACATGTTCCCGAAACATATCCCCCCCCCCCCAAATCCAACAACATACCCACAAGCCCTGCAAAATGTTCCCAACAATATGTCGGGCAGTAATTCCAAAATACCACCTTCCCATCCCGCATCAAAATCCAGGTCCGCTAAGAGAGAGCCATCTGTCCCAAGCACATCTATCCCCTTAAATCAAATTTAGTTGCTGTTCTTATATGTTTGAGGTCAAGAGCATCTTGACGGAGCGTGAGACTTTCTCACGTGTAGCTCCATCGATGCTTAGGACAGTGGTTTATGTAAGAAACCCACAACGATCTTTTAATGCCAATCGAAAGAATGTAGACTCAATTTTTGTTCCTGTTTCCTACAGACACGTGTTTTAGATGCTTAGATATGTCATCCTGCAGAGTTTTCCCCGTGTGGCCGGTGACAGAGTGTGTCAGGGTCGCCTAGTATTATTAGCATACACAGTGCCAAAAAAAATATTAAAAAAAAAAGGCTGTCATAGAGTCCCTTTTAGAAACTCGTATTGTTCTTGTGAAAATCCGGGTTTTTTTAAACTCAGATCCTTCAGAGTATTGCAAAAACGCTTTTTAAAAACCTTTTATAGTTGCACATATAAATACAACACTTAACGTCAAGGTTAACCAACTTTCACTGTACTCTTAAGAAACCTTTATTGTTTCTCATGTGAATAAATTATATAAATACAAAGGTTCAAAAGGGTTACATGATCCTTTATATATATGATGTGAAAAGAGGTTCCAAAAGAAAGGTAAGCATTTTCTTAGAAGCCTTCATTGCTTTATGTGTAAACAAAGATATCAACATAAAGGTTCCATAGATGTTATAAAACTCTTCAAAAGCCTGTATGGTTTTACATACAAGTATTGATTCAACAGAGGTTGACAAAAATTTAGGAGTAGCATTTAGAAAGAAAAACTATATTAAAAAAGTTTATTCAGAAAATATGCGATCAGCTTTGAACTCTGCTATTGGGTGTTATATTAATACTGTACATATTTCATATCATTGTAAATAAAGATTCCCTCATTCCCACAGTGGTTATTTCCCATCCGGTGTCTGGGCTCGGTATGATTAGTTTCATATGGGCCAATAGACCTTCTGCAGTTTACTTAATTCTTATTTCTTAATTAATTTCGTGTAATATAATGGAGAAATGTCTGCACATGTAATAAAGACTATGAGATAGAATAATGAAACTCTGGAGAAGACTAACTTTGTAACTATAAGACATGATGGATTTAGAAAGGA